CCCAGGTCTGAAGCCGGGCCTCCGGGAGGCTTCGCTGTGTAGCTGCCGTCCCCGGGAGCTCGGGGAGCTGCCGCTGCCGCCCGGTCGTCGCCGCTGGCGTTCGGTTAGCTGGGAAGCTGTCACTGCTGTCCCGGGAGACACTCGCCTTCCGTCCTAGGTGACCTGCCTCAGAAGAGGTTGAACTTCGCGGCGTTTTAGCCCGTGCTTTATTTACCGTGACCATGTCACTCCTCCGATTCGAAACAGGCGTTCCGCGCTCCTTTTAAGTGCCCGTTGGAACTACAGTGCGCATTTCGTGAAACAGTCTTTAAATGCTGTCAGAATGCTTTGACGTATAATGGGCTTTTCTCCCGTATGATAGCCAAGCCTATTTCTGATCTATGTTTATCTTGTAAATACTCTTCTTCAAGAGTAAGTTTCAAGTCTTTGACCATGGAATAGGAGAAAATGCTAACAGGCTTACTTCGTAGCGAGCTTTCTTCTTGTCCTTCACTGCAGAAAACTCCCATTATCCTAAGCTGTGAATCTCTGCTGAGCCGCAGCCCTTAGTTCTGGTCTGCATCAGAGCTTTGCTGCTGTTAACGGTCAGAGATGGACACTGTACCAAGCAGGATTGGAACAGAAGGTGCCGAGAGACAGAGGAGAATGTTCACCTTCACAGAAAGGTGACTGTGGCACCTGAAATACTGATTCATTGCGTTTTATCGAAATTGGTGGTTTGGTGAATAGATGGGATAGCCTACAAATGTTATGCTGGTGGTCTTTTGATTTTGTATGTCCCTGGTGAGCGGTGGTGTCTCTTGCCTTGAAGTACGGTGGTGTTACCTTGTGTTGTGGAGCCTAGTATGGAGTCTGAGAGAAAAATTAAAAATCTCATTTTCGTTAATCTTCTAGATGTTGGGGAAATCTATTCAAGACTACTGGATCACAGACCAGTAATTCAGGGAGAAATACGTTACTTTGTTAAAGAATTTGAAGTAAGTATTTATATTTTATTGGGTGCTGCAGTCTTCAGAGTCTGAGAATTTAAACATTTTCAGCATCTTTTTAGAGATAATAACATGTATGTAATTTTCTTCAGAAAGATTTGGCATGTATTTCTTGCCCAAAATAACTTAACGCACCTATAGTATATGTCTGCATCTTTAGTAAACAAGGCAGTAGTTCAGGTCTTTTTAGATAAACAAAGGGACATAAATATTTTTTCTGCAAAAGGCTGGCAGGAATATGCATGTAGAATTATGTAGTCCTAATATCTTAGAGAAGTCTTGTTGGTTCAAGGAAAATATCGTTGGCCGGTGTAGATTTACATCTGATTAAGAAACTGCTTTGTGCCTCAGCTGGATTCAGCTAGCACAGTTGTAAATTTAGTTTTGCTCTAATTTTTGTTCTGTGAAAGAAAGTACTATTACTGGAAGAGAAGAGCAACACTTTATGCCAAGTAAGAAAATCATTAAAAATTGGATGAATGTTACCCAATTTGCTGCAAATAAGGCTGAAGTACCGAAAGCGTGAAAGTGTTTATATGCAACTTTGCTTGGAAAGTGTAATATGGTTTCCACAAGATGGCAGCAAAAGTTCATAAAAGTAGAATCTGGGGTCAACAAAAGGCTATTTCTGAGTAGATTTTCATTCTTACAGAATGTGGAATTTAAAATCTTAAAATTAGTCCTGAAAATACAGTTACACCTCAAACTTCTAGTGTTCAGAGCTTATTTAAAAAAAAAAAACAAAACAAAAAAAAAACATTAAAATGCCTCCCCCCCTCTTCCCCCCCCAGTAGTAGCTAATATTTCAAGCAGGTCTAATTTGTTGCTATACTAGTGGTTTAGCAAAATAAGTATGTGAACTAAACTCTTAGGAGATGTATGTTGTATGGGTTTGAGAGTCATAAGGAATGATTTCTTTCTTTTGCCTTCCCTAAAAAAGTTATAGGATATAGTAAATAGTTTTATGTGGCTTTTCATAGGAAGGAAAATTTTAAACTCAATTACAAAATTATAACTCATATCTTTGTAATACATATATTTCCCTCACTGCACCCGAAGTCTTGTTCTATTTCTTAGACAAATTTCATATATTCTTAGATATTTTCTTGAATTTTAATTTCTAGTTTATACTTTCAGGGAAAAAATAGCAAAGCAGAGGATTATGTACATTTTTGCAACTTAGAATTTCTTCCAAAAATTAGCTTGTTTCTAACTTTGAGATATCAGATGTTTTTTGGTAGTAGTAGGACATAAGCTGCTTTCTTCAATGATGAGCATCCAGTGTGTAAATAATGTAGATTTGCATTCAGGAAGTCTGGAAACCTGTTCAGTTAATCAACTGTACTTGTCTGTGCCTCTTTTTCTGAAGTTTTAAAATGGATATGGTGATCCAATTGCCCACTTCGTGTCATGCGGTATTTTTTTATTATCTAGAATTGCTTTATGCTTAGCAGCTTGCAGTACATGACTGTTTGGGACAGGCAGCAGCCTGGAGCAGATTTCAGAATGCTGTTCATTGTCTAAAGGACAGTGCAGGTGAAATTCAGAGTGGAAGTAGTGCTGTGGCTTCTGAAAAATAGTTTTGTTTTTTTTTAGTGTAAACAAAAAAGCAAGAGCTTGTTCATCTTGTAATTAATCATGATCAGCAGTGAGCCAGAAGAAGGGCTGCCTCTTTAGTCAGCTGTGTTACGTTATTTTTCAGTCTTGACTTCATTGCTTACTTCAATAAAATCAATTTTACTTGGATTATTTTAACCTCATACCATGCTAAATCTGGAAGGTCAGACATCAAGCAAGCAAAATCACTGCTGTTATTTCTCTGTAACAGCTGAGTTATAAAAATGCAATGCTTTCAAGCTCTGTTTCTCTTTGTTGGTTTTGATATGCTGTAAATTACCTATACAAAACAATACATTTTTCCACATAATGTTTTCATTAGTAAATACTAACTTTTGTCACAAGGGCCTGAAGTGTCATTCAAAGTATTCTTGTATTTTGGTGTGAAGAATGAAGCATTACTCGCTTTTTTTCATAAAACTAATTTTATCAATTGCACTAAATCATCGGAGTAACACTTTAATAGACAATGGTATAGTCTTTGAGCCAGACTCAGAAACCATCTGATTTTGGAAAGTGGTGTTCGTTGTTAGCCACTCATTGTCTTTCAATTCTTCCGGCAGGAAAAACGTGGCCTCCGAGAACTACGAGTACTTGAAAATCTGAAGAACACAATCTTTGAAACCAATGAACATGTTCTTCCTAAGTGTGAGCAGGCAATGCATGACAATTTGCATGAAGCATTCAAGAGATGTAAGCACATTGCTTCTTATGTCGCTTGTTGCATCATTTTGAGGAATAATTTAAATAGTTTAGATTGAAAATATGATTTGTGGAAAAATTACCATCCTTGGATAAATTTTCTACCATTTATGTGCTTTGTTCTCATGTCTGTGAAATTTTAAAAAGGAAACAACAGGGACATTTTTTGCTATTTGTTGGTCCAGCCAACACAGTTCTTGCTAAGGTTACGTTAAAGCTTTTTGTTGACTTAAGTAGAAGCTATTTCAGCTCAGTCTTTTACAGCTCACTTAGAAACAGGATAGTACTCCATGTTGGCTAAATCCATGGACAAAATTTCAGTTTGCTGATTTGTTGCAAGCATGCGGTGGTGTGACCTTCACGTTTCTTAATTTTCCCACAGGAGAGCATAATACTGTCCCTGTGATTTAAAACAAAACTTGCACATGTATAGCTATAAAGTATGCTGCTATCATTATTATCTTTAGTCACAAAAAGGGTAGTAGTAATTATTCTTGTATGTTAATCCTAGTTTCATAGTTATAACCATTTGGTTTTTTTGTTGCTCAGATTTTAAAAGAAAGTTTAATATTTGTTGTACTAATTTTTCAGTATCTTTTTTTTCTTATTCATTTTTTTTTCAAGGGAGTGTGACTATGTTGCTTTAGGTGCCAAATTTATGCAGTTGAAACATGCCAGTGTGGGTTTTGTTATATTTTATGAATAGCATGATTTATAAGCATTTAATTTCATATAGCTTATATGGCATCTGGCATATGCAGAATAACAAATGGTAGATGATGCTATACGCACAAAAGGATGGTGGGATGATATTTGAAACTTAAAATTTAGTCATGCAAATAAGGTGTATGTTCTAATACTTTCTAAATTGAATAAACCTTTGATATTACTCCCTGACTTTGTAAGGGTCAGCTGTGCAATACATCATTAGTAATAGGAGCACTGAATGGTGGAGATGGGAAGGGACTTCTGGATGTCATTTTGTCCAACCGCCCTGCTCAGGCAGGGGCAGCTAGAGCCAGTTGTCCAGGGCTGTGTCCAGCTGGGTTTTGAATATCTCTGCAGATGGAGACTCCACAACCTCTGGGCAACCTGTGCCAGTGTTTGACCACCCTCACAGGAAAAAAGCATTTTCTTGTGTTTTGGATGGAATCTCATGTGTTTCAGTTTGTGACCGCTGCGTCTTGTCCTGTCAATGAGCACTATAGAGAAGAGTCTGGCTCCCTCGTCTTCATTTCCTTCAATCAGATATTTATTCACATTGATGAGATCCCACCTGGGCCTTTTTTTCTCCAGACTGAAGAGTCCAAGCTGTTTCAGTCTCTCTTCATATGAAGGACGCTCCAGTCCCTTGATAGTCTTTGTGGCCATGTGCTGGACTTGCCAGTCCATCTCTTTGGTTTAGTGGGGAGCCCAGAAGTGGACACATTACCACAGGTGCGGCCTCACCAGTGCTGAGTAGAGAGGAGAGATCACCTCCCTTGATCTGTTGGCAGTACTCTTCCTAATGCAGCCCAGGATGCTGTTGGACACCGTTTTTTGCTGCAAGGCTATGTTTTTGATCCTGAGTGTATTTTGCCACCTGGGATTATTCCGCCCAGGTGCAGGACTTGGCATTTCCCCATGTTGAACTTTGTAAGATTCCTCTCAGCCCAATTCTCCGGTTGCTCCAGGTCCCTCTGGATGGCAGCACAGCCATACGGTCTTTCAGCCACTGCTCCTGGTTTCATATCCTCTGCAAACTTGCAGAGAGTGTACTCCGCTCCAGCATCTGGGTCACTGATAATGTTAAGCAGTATCGGCCGCAGTGCTGGCCCCTGGCATAAACCGCCAGTGATTTGCCTTCAGCTTGACTTTGTGCTGCTGATACCAGACTCTAGACTTGGCTGTTCAGCCAGTTTTCAATGCCCCTCGCAGTCCCCTTGTCTAACCTGCCCCTTGTGAGCTTGTCTATGAGCATGTTGTGGGAGACAGCATCAAAAGCCTTACTGAAGCTGAGGTAAACATCGCCTGCTTTACCCCATCTGCCAAGCTAGGCACTGCATTACAGAAGGCTGTCAGGTCTATTAAGGATGATTTCCCCTTCATGAATCCATGCTGACTACTCCCAATCACCTTCTTGTTCTTCATGTGTTTGGAAATGCTTCCAGGAGGGTTTTTTTCCCATCACCTTTCTGAGATTGAGGTGGAGCTGACTGGTCAGTAGTTCTCTGGATCTTCCTTCTTGCCCTCGAAGAGAAGAGTTCTGGATCACCTGCCCATGCTTCCACCTCCCATATGGTTCCTTTTTTAAGTCTGAATTCAGTTAGGAGCTCCTTGCTCATCCATGCAGGCCTCATGTCACCTTTGCTTGATTTCCTACTTGTTGGGATGGGCCTTTCTTGAGCTTGGAGGAAGTGATCCTTGAAAAGTGTGCTAGGTCCCATCTGTTACCATCATCCCAGACTCTTGGTTTGCCTACCCTATCCCCAACTTCTTTACTGTTTTGGTTTTGTTTTTTTGAGGAACCACTCCCTGACCCGTCATTTTGAATTTAAAGCTGTCCCTACCAGGTTAGCCAGCCTCTTGGCAAAGGTGCTTTTGCCCTGTTTAGTCAGGTGGATTTAATCTCTTCCAAGCATCTGTTGATGCTCATGGTTGTAGAAACCGAAACACTGCTGCCAGCACCAGCTGTCCGAACAGCTGTTAACCCCAAAAATCCATGGAGTTCCCCTCACCAGTAAGGTTGAGGAGAACATTACCCAGAGCCACGTGCCTTTGACCGCTGACCCCAGATCCTTGTAGTCATTCCTGATATTTCTGGGTCACCCCTGCTGCATGGAAGAGCAGCAGGGGTAATAGTCCAAGCCTCAGTACATCCCGAATGTGAGCTCCTGGTAAGCGACAAACCTCCCTAAATGACAAAACATACCGACACATGGGGAGCCTCTGTCCTCTGCTGTAGTCTGCTACAGCTGTCACTTGCGACTGTCTTCTAATGGTCCTGAGTGGCTCAGGCTCAGCCACCGATGCAGTAATTGATGGTGCGCCAACTCCTTCTCAGCTACGAGGGCAGTGAACCTGTTCTGTAACTGGGAGCCCTCAGCGAGGCAGGAGCCTGCCACCTGGTGTGAGAAGTCACCAGCTTTAGAATGGTAATAAGTAAGGTATTTCTTGATACTAGGATGTGTTAGTGGTAGAAATGACAGCTTTGGGGAAATCAGTTTACTTAATTCTGCATTAAGTGTTAAATAAGTTAGGGAAAAAAATTGCATAGGAATACAGTATCTGTTTCCATTTGGAAGTTTTCCTAGGCATAGTCTCACAAAAGAAGAGGATGACTCCTGCATAAAGAGTTCTCCATGTAGATTGTTTATACTGAATTACTTTTTACATTTGATGGGGAAAAAATACGGGGGGGGGAGGGGAATCAAACAACTAAAGCCTAGAATTTGGTCACCTGTTTCTACTTACTGACTTGAGAGTGTTTTTGATGTCTTCTGAGGTGCTGAGTAGTGAACTCTAGCTTGTCAGCCGCGTTAAGGAGTATGGGCACAAGAGGACCTAGCTGCCTTTTTTTTTGGCTTCTAAACGCGCAAGGGTTGAACTTGGTAATATGCCTACATACAGGTATCAATGTAAAGTATTTTCTGCAAGTACTGACAAATCTTTTTAATGCAGAGTTAAGTGGCACAGTGGAATATACTGTTTGACTTGCAACAGCCTCATGTCTTCTAAATCCCTTTCAGGCAAGTTTCTTTGATTTAGAACAGCAGACTGATGTACTGCAATTTGTTATTTCAGTGCAAGCTGCCAACGATATGATCCATAGACTCCATGAGAAGGAGCATGAAGAGAGGAAGGTAAAGGATGGATGGATAGATTTTTATGATGTGATCTAAGTAAGAATCTTGTGCTTCTACAGCAAGTTTATCTGCTTTCAGTATAGTAGACTTAAAAGCATATTTTTCTATACTTTGTGTACTTGCAGTAAAACTTCTTTTTGGAGTGATTTCTGCACTTACAAAACACATACTGCAGCAGCATATATGTTCTCAGCTGCAAAGTTAATGGATCACTAGCTCTTCCTACAATCTCCTGATGTATGGAAACTACCGGGTTTTTTTACTTCCTTCACTTTATTTTCCCTTATAGCTCAAACTATAATATTTGTCACATACAGGGAAAGCTTAAATATAAAAAAATTATTTTCTGTGGAATAAAAAACACCTACTCACCTACTAGAATGGAAATGTAAATCTTTCCTAGTGAGCTGAGAACTTTGACTGTATTATATATATTGCTTGTTGAAAGGAAGTGTGTTTTTCACTTGTGGATGGGTTATTTAATGAAGGGCTATATTACAGGAACATGCGAATCACTGGAATCTTTTCAGTTGGCTAGACTTTGCTCATTTGAAATACATGTGCTCTGAATCTAAAATTTGGAAAATTATACAAGAAATTAGTTTCCTGTTTTGCTATTACTCCTTCATGATTGTGTTCCTGTGTTATCGTTTTACTTGCAAAATGTTATTTATAATTATTTAGTTCAGAAAAACTGAAGACGTTTCTGTGGCCATCATGCAAAACAGGCTGTGCATTGATTTATGTAAGCTGATAGTCATGTTTTTCTTTCCTTTTTGTAATCGATGAAGATGGGCAGTCCAGTTGCAGTTGAATACTAGTACTGTGCAAGTAGCACAGTGCTGAACCCTGACAAAGTCTGCTTTTATAACTTATAAAATGAACACTAAATAAGAATGGTAACTATTATTTTTTAAAATAGTAGCTGTATGTTTCCACTCAATTTTTTTTATATGCAGTGGAGCAATGCTAATAGCTATTCAGGATTTGTAGTGTTTCTTTAAGCCTGTGTAGGCTTTTTGGCTTGAAATTTTCTAAATGCGAGTAGTAACAGGTAGGTGACTTTTTAAAATTCTAGACAAAAGTTGTCTCTGTAGTGCAGCCACTTGAGCAGAAATACTTTTTTTCCTTATATTTCTTTCTGAAATCATGTGTGCTGAAAAAAGAATGGATTTTTTTGTAAGATCTAGTGTCAAGTGATTAGTCTTAGCAGCCCTCGGTGACATTGATTCAGTTGCTGCTGAATAGAATGAATCTGAAGATTATTTGCTTTACTGATTATCTTTTTGTTGCAGTTCCTTTCAGCTACTGGTATCAGCGAAGTAACAAAAGGGAAATTATGTTGTCCCTACCACATTCTCACTTAAGATGTAAAGTAATTTGTGATCATAGGAGTGTCATTGAAAGAAGCATTCGTAGAATCCCCTGTCTCATTCAGTAGTCTCCCCATTCAGATCAGTAACGTTTAGTTAGTAGTTCAACTGTGGATTACTTTCAGCTTGTGATAGCAACTAGAGAAGATTTCAAGAAATTTTGTAAACAGGTTTTTGTGTACTGTGTCCTTACTTTTTTCTCTTTAAATACTTTTATGTGGAATTGTGAAGGTTTATAATGAAAATTACATAATGCTTCCAATTATTGGCTTTTAATTGCTTGTAACATGAACTAGTATGGTAACATTTCTCAAAGCTGGTGACTGCCTCAGATAGTGGGGTCTTTGGTTTGGAGGTATTTTTGTGTGTGTTTTTGGTTTTTGTTTGTTTTTTAATTTTGGGAAAAAATAGCCAAAGTAGTACTAATAACAAAGTGTACTGAAGAATTTGGTGTTCTTACAGATGTTCGTTTTTGACATAACCGATGACAGTAAAACAAGAATAGAAACAAATATAACCAACTCATGTGAGTCAGTACTGTATACAAGAAGGCTGTATTGTCTTTCAAGTTCAAGCAGTATGCACTGTTGAGTGAAAAAATAGTTTCATAATCAGATTAGATTTTTGCCAAATAACTAGTGTCTGAATTTAGGTGTTGATATAAAAGGAATATGAAAGACTTCACTGCCAAAATATATAAATTTGCTAACACACCAAAGGGGATTCCCAGAACAGGAATTAATGAGGCAGCAGCTATGTTTGTAATTAGACGAGCTTTGGTTTACATGTAGACCAAATTATAAAACTTTAACTCAAATCTATTTTCAAATTTTATGTGAACATGAAGGCTCAAAATCATCCAAATTTTGTGATGTCTAAATGTCTTATGAAAAAAATACTCATAAAAGTAGTGGGCATTGTTGCAAATACAGAACAGATGCTGAGCTTAGTTTGAGTTTCCCAAACTCTTTTGTTTATAAAGTCATGCTGAAAGGCAGAAACTGAGCACAAGTTTTCAGGTTACATGTGAAAAGTGAAGTTTAACTACGTGCTATGGCTGATCTTCCATTGGTTGGTCTAAATGAGCTGCAGGAGTCACTTAAAGAATGGGTAACCAGCAATCAAGGACAGGGCAAAGCTGTATCAATGTGGTCTGGAGCTGGAAACTTTATAGGAGAATAGAGCTGGAATTCTGAGAGTGTTTGGGGGTGAGGAGACAATAGTAAAAGCCTGAAGCATAGTGTACTGTTGCTGACAGTCTTTTTGGTTCAGATAGAAATCTACAGCATGGTAAGAAATGTTTGATTGTCTAATGCTTAAAACATTAGAACTTATAACTAATTATTGAGACTCCATTTTTCGGTTCCTGGGTAAATATTGTCCTGATACCATACAATACCATGAATTACCTAAAGCTGCTTCTTGGCTGAGGTACGTGCAGGTCTGCATGCTTTAGTTCATACAGCAATTTTCCTACATGAAACCTCCTTTCAGGTAGTTGTAGGGAACGATAAGGTCCCCCTTCAGCCTCCTCTCTCCAAACTAAACAGCCCCAGTTCCCTCAACTGCTCTTCATAAGACTTGTTCTCTAGACCCCTCACCAGCCTGCGTGGATTCTTTAACTTCTAATAATAAGCAAGTTTACACTGCAACATATGCTTTGGTTGAAAGATCGGTATCCTAAGGGGTGCATCCATTAAGAATCACACTTTGTTATTTTTACTCTTTGCACGGCTATTCGTCTCGTAGGAATAGGAATATTGGTTTCAAGCTTATGACTGTCTCGCACACACAAACATATCCACTCAGCAGTTGTCAGTGTTAATGATCTGGAGGTGCTGCTGAGAACAGTTGGGTTTCAATTTTTTTTCTAGGAGGGAGAGCCTCAGTGCCTAAGGTGTGCACTGAGCTCCTACAGCAGGGTTTTCCAGATCGTTACCAGGGTGGGAGAATTAAAACAGTATTCCAAGTCCTTGCTGTCTTTTGCTTGGTATTTCTTGTCATTCTTACTTGCTTGCTCTAGCATATCTTAGTTTTAGTTTTCTGTTTTCTAAAGTGTTTGTTCGTATCTGCAAGTTTTTACTTTGTGAAAGGTGTAAATTGCAAGTCTATGGAGTTACTTTATTTCCAACATAAATCTTACTCCATAAAATCCGTTACTATTTCAGTAGAATTCTACTTGTGTTTATATATTTAAAGAATATTGTATTTATATATTTAAAGAATAAGTGTTTACAGTAGTTGCTTTTCAGTACTCAACTATTTATTTAGGCATAGATTAGGCAGCATACACAGCCTGCCTGCTAATATGCTTTTGTTTCACAGTGTCACTTCTCTTGTGCTAGAACAAGCTAAAGACTGAGCAAGGGAAGGGAAGAGGTTTTTTGGGAGAAGAAAGGAGTTAGACTGCAGATTTTTGATAAACTGAACTTAGATATCTCATGTTCTATGAATGGCTTTGGTTGTTTTATCATGTAAGTCATTTTATATCCTTGGGTAGAAATGGTGCAGTAGAAAATGAAAATAGCAAGTAGCAACAGGATTTTCACGTTCCTTGCAAACTATTCACGTTGTGAGGAGCGTGGGTTAGTCTAGCTGAAGTGTGGTTTGGGTAGGTGCTGTGTAATCCTGTCAGTAAATGAGTGATGCACTGAGAGTTTCAAAACCCGTTGAGTATGAAGTAGTGTACAGGTCAGACTAATAGTGTACACTAGTGTGCTTCATTAGTAACTGATATTGCATCTGTTGCAAATAAAATGGATCTTGGCATAATGTTGTTACAATGTACATAGAATGCTTTATGGCAAAAATGGTGTATTTGAACAGTGATGTGTGATCTTAAAGAAAAATACACTGTGGTGAAGAATACATAAATGGGTTCCCATTGCCTTTAGTTGACAAAAATGCCAGATTTCTATTGAATCTGTATGATAGTATCTATTCCTACACAGAAGTGCTGTACATAAAAAAAATCATTGCTAATAAAAACGAGAGAAAAAAAAAAGAAGAATGAATCCTCTCTTTTGATGAGAGACAGAGAAAATATAAGAACTGCCTCGATTTACTGTGACCTCAGTGTTTATAATATAAGGAGGTCAGACTGTTAATACTGCATGCAAGCAATCCACAAAAGTACGCCTCATTTTAGCGTGCATATTGGATGTGTGTGTGAACTCTCTTTCTAGATAGCTAGATTGGTTTGGTTTGGTTTGAGTTTTTTTCAGGTTAAGAGAGTGAAAGGAGTCAGACTTACCAGAAGCCAAGTGGTATTGAAGTACAAGGGGAAAAATAACTTATCTATAAAGGAAGACATTAATCACAGTGAGAGCTAGCTGGCTAAAGCAGGAACATAAACTGCCAGTTTAAAAACATTGAATATCCATGTGTTTATATTCTGTTTCACTCTCTTTTTTGTGTTAGGGGTGATTACGGTGAACATAAGCATTGTGGTAAAATAGAAATGTGGTTTGTTTCTAGTTTTAAAAAATGTATTCAAGAATGTAAATAATACTTTGTTTCAACAAATAAGACATTCAAGGGGAAAGTAGCAAATGTCAAGAAAAGAGGAACAATATGTGGAAGAGTTGGCTGACATAATATATACATATTTTAGTAACAGTCATAATTTGCTGTGGAACATAGAAACATTCAATTTACACGTATTTGACATAAAACCTCAAATGTTGTCTTACTGTTGAAGTGGATCCTTTAATGTAATGCAGATATACCTAAATAATGGACATGCGTAACTCTAAAATTTTGTTTTGTCTAGCACTTGCAAATATGAAATACAGTGGGCCTAGTGTTTTCCTCATAAATCAGCTATAGTAATGCTTTTTCAGTGTGTATCATATATAACATAGACCTGCCTGTACTTGCTGTACTAGATGCAGATTCTCAGTTCTTTAAGACACTTAATTGAAAATTGGATGCATTTTATTTAAATTATATCTCTTTCAGTTACTTTCAGAACAGTGGACTCCCTGAGTCTATTTGTGTCAGTAGGCAGCTTCTTTCTGTGTGAACACAAAAAAGAGGGAGGGAGGAGGAGCAGCATCCATGTACTGATTTATATTGTTAATTTTTTTTTTCATAACTAAGCGGCTAAAAGCACTGAATACTATGTTCCCAAAATCAGAAGTTGATTTTAAAGTAAAATCTTTGTGAGATAATGCAGGTTTATATCAGCTGCTTACAGTACTTCTAACATTGTCAGTAGTCAGAGGAGCAAATAATACAAGTATGATCTTTAGAAACAACAGAAGCGAACTAGGTGATCTAGCACCTTTACAGTGTCTTTCCATTTGTTTATTTAATTAATTTTCACCAGACTGTAGGACAGAAAAACTATTGTTGGTACTGCTATCACGTTAACAGTATCGCAGACATTTTACCATTTATTTTGGATTGACTATACTTCATAAAAATAAATGTTTTCTTTTTAGTTTCACTTGTTCATATGTTTTCTTGCTACTTTCACTTTACTGACATAAAAGCCAAGTTTTCTGATACTCTAACATCATGTAGATATCACTAAAGCCTCTGCTTTAATCTGGAAACGATCGTTAAAACTTCTCATTTTCGTCCTTTCAGCTTCAGGCAGACAAGCTGATGGTTCGTGAAGAGAAGCACACAGCCCACTGGGAGGAATTCATGAAAGAACAACAAAACAAACAAGCAGAGGTGGATGAAGAGCACAGAAAAGCTATGGAGCGCCTCAAAGAGCAGTATTCTGAGATGGAGAAAGAACTGGCCAAATATGTTTCTTTTTAAGACCTTTCTTTTTTAATAATGCTGGGTTTGTGCCAATACTCAGTTGCTCCTGACTTAAATTGAGATTCTTTTGGAAAGCTGAAACAAAGAAGAAAAAAGGAGAATTTCCTCCACAGGTTTAATATGGGAAAAAATCATTTGCATACTTTCAACTTAAGTGCCTATCTATGCTTGTTTTGTTCAGGGCGAGTAGAATGCCAGTATTTCTTCATTTGTTGGAAGGTGGAACTGGAAATTACATTGTGTGACTACATCAGCTGGAGGAGTTGCAAACTGGAATTCTCTCCCATCTGCAGAGAGTATAATATCGTTTGGGAAAACAGAGACGTTAATGTAATACTAACTATTCTAGTGTGCAGCCACAGCCTTTTCCCAAGAAGTAGATGTAATAAGTTCCAGCCATAGCTAGCTGAGAATTCACTGGGAAAACCATAAATCCCATTCACAGATTTCAGGGAAACCAACTTGTTTTACAGAATACTTTACTTTGAAGCTTTAGCAATGAAAGATCTCAACAGAGTTTTAACTCCAGTTGTAATTCCAGCTTTTGGGTTGTTTGTTCAGTATTATGGAGTCGAGTTGAGATTTAAGTGGTTTTTGCTAACATAAAAATGGCTAAGTGAGCTTGGACAACAATTTATTTTCTGTCCCTGTAAATATCTCAGACCTGTCTTTTTAAGCTTTACTGTTCTAAGCAAAGCAAAAACAAGCTCAAAAGTAATCATGAGAAGCATATCAGTCTTTGTACTAGTAGCTGTGTAGCTAGTACATGTTTACCTTAAATATTTGGCATTCTGTTGGTTGACTTAGGATAAGCTTGTCAGAACTTTATAGAGCAATTGAGGAAAGATTTTGTTTCTTTATCAGCATAATAAATGAGCAGATTAGTGGTAAAATGCCTGTAGTACTGATCTGCTTTCTTACTGTTACTCTTACGGGGTATGTGAAATTCCTGTGTTGCTTTCTTTTATTTAAAACTTGCAGTTAACAGCAGTGTAACTGAAGAAGTTAACTTAATCAGTTCATTAACCAAGCAAAATGAGACACAGTACCTTAATGAAATTTGCTGCAAGCTAACCGTTAGTACAGGAAATCTCTTTCCCCATTTTAGCTGGTGTCCAATATAGAATGGAAACAGAATAAACAGAATTTACCCTTTACCTGTATTGCAACTGTAATATGCCAACAATGGTTGCTTGTGTAAGTTCATGGCTTGGTGTCAAGGCTCCATTCCTGGCAGTATGTTGATAGTGTGATTGAAGTTAGTAGAGGAGATGGAATAAGTATTTGAGATTTCTTTCAGTAACACTGAATTCCTGCCAAGCTGCTCTGCCCTCTACTGTAAGCCAAACAGCTTCATCAATCATCATCGTGTATCTGGACTGAAAAGAGAACTTGCCGACACTGGGGCATGCTGGAATGTTGTTAATTTTCTGTTGTGGATGGAAAAAAGGTATCCTGCACATGAAAAATAGGAAAGCCTCTTTTAGAACAACCCCAATTTGAATAGAAGGTGACCTCTGTAATACTTTTCAGCTGATTGTACCCATGATGAATGTTGTGACCAAGCTCAGACTTTGATTTAAAAAGTTCGTTCTTGCCTGTCTTTAGAACTGAGTGTGGAATAGTTTTGGTTGTTTTGAGCACAGACGGAAAATGGCTTCTCTCTTACCAGATTATTTGATGTATATGTGCTGAAAGCCCTAAGAACTTTATAACAAAATGCATTTAACTGCATACTGAATTCATTTGTATTTTTGCACTGATAACTTTTATTAAGATTTAGATATCCAATTAACTGTGCACTGGAGCTGTAGATTTTAGTCTTTTGTCAATTTGAGGGCTCTTAAGCAACGATGCAAGTGTTGCAAGTTGGATATTCACTGGAAAATAAAGCAGTATTTCCAAGATATTCTGGGATGTGTGCTCCTGAGTTTTTGGAAAGCTTCTAAATACTAACACTGAAAATGTGTTCCTCTTTTAGAATGATACAGGTATTCTTATGCTGAAGATTGTTTGAAAACACTTTTACTTATAGTCTATATCTGCCTGTTGGCCCGCTTTTATTCGTTGTGGGGACTACCTGAAAACTATTCATTGCTGAATTATTTTATTCAGTAACTTACCCCTTTTTTATATGATATGCTGTAGGTTTTGAGGTACTTGGAAATGCTTAATTGTCTTTGAAGCAATTTGCCAACATTTCACGGGAAAACCAATTTCTTCTGTCCAAATGCTTTAAAAAGAAAAAAAACACCAACAAACCAACCAGATGTGTCTAGTATTATCTCAGAACAAATCTGACAGACAAAAAAATTTCTTGTCTTCAGCAGTTTTTTAGCAAGGTGGGACTATGGTCTTTCTGGACACAATAGTTCTCTGCAGTGGGACTTTATTTGTAAGATTCCATTTCTTCTTGTTCATTAGTCTACTATTTGGGAGAAATAGAAAAATGAATAGTGTAAAAGTTGCTTTTATGTCATTGGTGCATGAAGGAAGTGGTTTACCTTATACTTGCAATATTAACGTGACTGAATTTCATAGTTTTAAAAATCTTGAGAATTTATTGAATTCCGGTTAAACTGGACAGCAGGTTTGCACTGGATTCCAATAGGAGCTGGAAAGGGTCCGCAACACTGAAGTTCTAGTGTGGCAGGTAAGTTTTGCAATCTGCCTTTGTACCAGACTACACATACAACTTTTTGCTTAACTATTAGCGCTGCTTGTTATACTGAATTGTAGGTTTAACTGCTCTTCTTTGTAACTGGAAGTGGATTTGGATGTCGTGTAATCACTAGAGTATTTTCTTAGTCTTTCTATTCTAATGAGTACATAGTGAGAAACTGTTATCTTCCCTGGAACTGCTGTATGAAATCTGCTGCTGTGTTAAGGGTTTGTTTTGGTTTTAACTGCCTTGTTTTAACAATGAACCTATGTGCTGTTCTCCTTGGAATGTTTTATATCTAAGGCCTATCACAGTTTTTTAATCTTAGGAAGGAGAAAGCTGATTTGTTTGCTCTTACTCTGCTTCTTTCCATGCTGAGACTAGGTAGTATTTTTCATAGAAAAATTCTGTAATTACAGCTGGAACATTGCATCTGATATTTTAATTTATGGCTTGTTAAACCTTTTCTCAAAAACTGTAAAGTTTTGTTTCAGTAGTCAAACAGCAAATACGTGGCATAATCAGCCAATGAATTGAATTGTATGTAGTTCACTCCTGAGCTGAAAAGCTTCCTCTTTCTCAAGGCTGTGGGTATGGAGCTTTACAAATATTCCCCAGCAGGTGGCAGTGTAAGGCTGAGAAGGAAAGTTAGCAAGCCTGTTTTTGTGAGGTATAGCATGTAAATGCTTATATTCAGTTGTAATACAGTATTTTTTATGAGTACAAGATGTTTGGTGGATGAAACCACAGGCTTTTAAATAAAAAATGGCACTACTTAGCAGCAGCATTTTGCCCCATTAGTCCTCAAAAAAGCTTACAACAGGTCACTCTTAAAATTATTTGTGTAGGGTGTGCTGATCTGAACAGCGTCTGCAATACTTATGTGATCTAATTAATATTTGTTGTAATCTGAAATGACGCTAAATGTCAGAGACTGAAACCTTCAAGAGCTGCGTTCTTATACAGCTGTTCAGTTTTGTGGGCCAGGTTTTCTGAAGGTTTGAGGCAAAAGTTAATGCTTATTGATAGAGATTGTGCCGTAATAAAGAAATGGGGACTTCCGCAAAAAAATTGTGTGAACAAAATTATAATACCACACACTTTTAAACAGGCCAAGTATTTTAATCGTGTATAATTAAATGAACTTCTGAAAGTAAGTAAAGATGCAGTATGCTCGGTGCTGTAGGTCCAGCTTATGGTGTGTGTGAAGATACAGCAGAATCTGCAGGAAGATGGGAGAGCAGCTGCCGTACTAGGATTTTAATGAATAACACAACTTTCATAAATAGCTTAGTCATAAGCTTATTCAGAATTGCCATAGACATTTAAAAGAGAAGGGAGGAGTCAAAAATGCTTAAATCTTTTTTGGGGCAATTAACAAAGTGAGTTTTATAAGGGTTTAAAGAAATATTTTGGAAATACATTACTCTACATATATGTACCTTCCAGTTCTGAAGAGTGTATGGGATTGCACGCACTACCTTTGCAGTTTCACATATAGTAATAAGCAAAGTAGAAACAAATTTATTCAAGACAATGGTGAGCATTAGAAAGAAGAAAGGCTTGCGGAAGTCCTGCTAGAGCTTAAAGCTGTAGCTTTGAAATACAGGGCTCGGGTTTGTGCTTCCTAACTAGGAAACCAGCAGAGCTATCTGACTGGGTTTCAGATTGCCTGCTTAAATGTTTGTCTGGGGCAGATCAGAACCTGGATGGTTCAGTTTTTTATTTAACATCATTTTGTAGATGGTGAAGGTAAAGCTAACCCTTTCAATATGAACTTTGAAGACAATTGCACTGAAGGATGGATAATACTGTATTTTAAAACTGTAATTTAAAATAAAACCCTGCATTTCCTCAATCTTTGCTAACAACTCACTGGGTGGATAAAGGAGACCTGCAGCTGGGTATCATTGGGGTTTTTTAACAGACATTGCATTGAACTTCATATGATGGAATTTAGTGAGAAATATTTATGGCTTTTGCTTGTTACTCATTACTAACATTTTGAGATGGACATAATCTATAAATTTATCCAGCATTTCATGACATATTGTCCCTCTATTCTGTAATCTGGAGAAAAATAAGCTTTGTTCTTGCCACAGCAAACATGGCAGGACCAGAATAAGCATTTTCAGTTGTCTTTGAGTTAATTGTAAAATAAACTTACAAGCTTGCTTTGGAAAGCCTTGGCCTGTTTAAGCTTTGCAAAGCTTGTGGGGTGGTACCTGGCCAGTGCTCTCCCAAGCTAGGATGTGCAGGAA